GATTTCTTAGCTAGGAAACACACACCTTTGCTACTCTACGAGCCTTGCCCAGGTCCGCAGTTTGAGCTGTGAAGAACTACTTAGATTGTGCAGTGGCTTCAGTGCACAGCATGGACAGAAGCCCCCCCAGGAAGCATTAACCCTCAGTATCACGGACTGAGCGGCACCTGGTCGGATGGGAAGCGAGAAGCAGAGGCAGGGACTGCAGAAGCGTCTTCCCCTCTCCCTCCTCGGTGAACTTTCTCAAGGTGCCCTTACTTCTCATCTTTGAATTAACATTTTGCATAGATTAGCAACTGGGTAGAAAGTCTAACCCACAGAGACCAGTGGTCCTTGCAAGCTTTCAACTAATTCACAAAAACAACGTGAATGCCAGCAGTGCGAATTGGAGTCAATGGACCACCACTGGTGTATGCAAATCAAGAACCTGGGCAAGCAGTATTTTCTCACAGGATCATTTACTTGTTTTCCATTTATGAAAAGCACTCTGCCTTAGTACAGGGAACATCGGTGAAGAATGGCCACCTACAGGCTCTATATAAAGAGAAAGATATTGTTAATAAATCATTTTCTCCATAGGTATAATATTTAAAAAACACATTAAAAGCAAAGCTGTTAAAACTTCTTCCACATCTTAATTTTCATTCAAAGACTCAAATTACATGCATAGAATGCAATTGTTTTTAGGCAGCTGGAGAACCAAACACATTAAGCTTGAAGGTTATAAAGCCACTGGCAATGTTACTTCACTTTCAATATTGTTGCTGTTTCGAGAGCACTTTTGTAGTAGCTGTTTGACAGATTCGCTGGCCCTTTGTATCTGAACATACAGATGGGTTTGTATCCAGAGAATTACATCGACCTACAGGAATCCCACCACCACTGCTTGTACATGTAAGAACTGCTTTACAGTGAATGACAGTCTGCATAATGATTACATGCATAGATTTATTTTTGTTTTACTTTACAAGAAGTCTTAAAAAATCTGCTTTGAAGCATGTGATTTTTTAAAACTTACTAATATAGGAACAATTTGAGTTCAGGATAAAATGATAATTCTTGTGATATCAAAGTTATAAAATGAAATTTATGAATAAAACTGTAATTATATTCCACACAGATGCACAAACCCTGATGGTTGAAACATACAAGGGAATAAATAGCAGTTGAATAAAAATCAACTGATCTAACTTTGATATTTAGTGATACAATTTTCTGAGCTCTAGAGAGACAGTTAAACTAGTTAATATGTCCTAAGACCTTAAGCTTACTTATTTAAATGCATAACTAATGACTGGCAAGAGACAATGAACTGTCCCTGGTACGAATCACACATGCATTTGTTTTTACTTCCTCTGTACCCTCAAGCAACATCTAGCTCCAAGTGCTATTGAAATAAATCTTTACAAAGGCGAAACCAAACCAGCCACACTGCTGTTGAAAAGTACAACTCTGTGGCTCTGATTTTAGCTGGTATTTGAAGTTTCTTAGAGTTGGATCAGGAACAAGCACTCATGGTCAACCAGTCCATGAAAGAACCAGTTACTGAGCGTGCGAGACGTTTGTAGACATTTTCAAATCAGAAACGGTGAGCCACTGCAAATGTGTGATTTCCATTCTAGTTTATGATATCATTTTGTTAATAGTCTCTGGCATTTTATTCATTCTAAAATGGACAAAGCATCAAAAAACATTATGTAATAATAGCTAAATATTTGCACAGAGCTCCCAGCAGTTGCTGTATTATTTACTGCTGCAAATAGAAACTTTGTCCTCATTCAAGAAAGCACTCCTCACTTATTCATGTATCACTACCAACTTGAACGTGCAGTAATTCATTCTAAATATCTTGATCAGTTTATAAAAGTTAATCTGTGATGAGGTTTTGTGTAATAGCTGGGGCTGGTTGACGCATGAAAAGTCCCTCATGACTATTTTATTAGTGATGCACTTGTGTTATCTTTACTCATTACCTGAAAATTCAGAGCAAGTGCACGAGCATAACTTTTTACTGACAGTCCCTCATTAATTTATTAGACTGACAAAATGAGACAGGTTGTTCTGAATATTCACTCTGAAAATGTGTTTTTATTTGCAGAAACAAACTGAGAGGTCTGGGAGTTGCATTACTTTGTATTTGCCACGTCTGCCTAATGCAACTCTAGAACAGATTTTCTTTCTTTCTTTCTTTTTTTTTTTTTAAGCAAGGAACATTCCCTATCCTCACATACAGAATTCAAATTTATTTTGCTTTTCAACAGCTATTCTAGAAAGAACAAAGACTCTATTTTGGCATTTCTGGAACTGTAACATGTTGAGCATAGTCCTTTTTACAGAGATTACTTCTGCATCCTCAAAAGAAGATGAAAATCAAGAAAAGAAAGTAATCTGCTAAATCCTGGCTAGAGTCAATGGTGACAAAACCATGCGTTGTTGCAGCTGCTAAGGAACAGCAACCTGTATATGAAACAGGCTGACAGCACTGGCAAGTGCTTTTACTGAACAAGTACCTACATCACAGAAAACACCATCACAACTGTCAGTTCAGGACTGAAATAGTGACAAGACGACCAAAGCATATTGTCCTGCTACTGTCATTTGCATTCTGTGGATATATTAATTATCCTGAATAGCACATTTTCTACTCTTCCACTGTGCCCCGGTACTTAATCCATTACAATTTTGTGGAGCAACTTGTGAATTCGCATTTTTCCCCAATTCTGAAATTCTCATCCCATGTTGTTAAACAGGTGTTAAATCAGTTACTTGTAGTGTAAGACACGCTGTGTAAGTCATCAAAAAAATCAAGATTAACCAAGAGGTCTCACAGTGTGATAACTATGTATTCCTGGTTCACTTTGTAAGAAAATAAGGTAGCATCCTATATTCTAATATTGTAGGCTTCGATTATGCTGATGCTAAGTGGAAATGATTGTAAATAAGTGAAAGGAGAACACCTATGCGTAAACTACGTACATGCTGCAGTAAGTACCATTGCGGCTCACTCAGATAGGAAAACCTGGATTCATCAGTGCTTTCTAGGGTATTTTTTTGTTTGTTTCTATCTTGAAACAAGTATGGCAAATGCAAATCTACTCAACAATGTTACACTGGCAAAAAGGAATAAAGACCTTTTCGTTCTTTGCAGACTTAGAATTTACTCTCTCTTTTGTAGGAAAGCTAGATAGATTTGAAAACTATTTTATCTATCCAAAAAATCTAAATGTTTTATACATGCATATGTATGCTAATACGTGCTATAGTATACATATATATTTATCATTTATCTATATATACAAATATTGTATCAGATCAGCTCATGGAGATCACCCCCAAAACCACTGTCAGTGATTCTGCATCATTATATCAGTTTGTAACTGACATACTAATAAACATCAGTACTTCAGCTATACTCAGATCATATTTCCATTTTGCTTCAAAATCATGACAAACAGGGTAAACAGAAAGATGAAAACATGAGACACTGGTGTCACGCGCTTGGAGAAACTGGGACCATTTTACTTATGCTTTCATTGGATCTTAATTTATCATTTAAAATTCTTAATTGGGAACACAGGGAATCTCACCAGCACACTCTCCAGAAATGACTTTCAG